CACCACCACCATCACCACCACCACCATCACCACCACCACCATCATCACCACCACCACCATCACCACCATCACCATCACCACCACCACCATCACCACCACCACCATCACCACCATCATCACCACCACCACCACCACCACCACCACCACCACACCACCACCACCACCACCACCACCACCCCCATCACCACCACCATCACCACCATCACCACCATCACCACCATCACCACCACCCCCATCACCACCATCACCACCATCACACCATCACCACCATCACCACCACCACCACCACCACCACCATCACCACCACCATCACCACCACCATCACCACCATCATCACCATCACCACCACCACCACCATCACCATCACCACCATCACCACCATCACCACCATCACCACCATCACCATCACCACCACCACCACCATCACCACCACCCCCATCACCACCATCACCACCATCACCACCATCACCACCATCACCACCATCACCACCACCACCACCATCACCATCACCACCACCACCACCATCACCACCACCACCACCACCATCACCACCACCACCATCACCACCATCACCACCATCACCACCATCACCACCATCACCATCCACCACCACCACCACCACCACCATCACCACCACCACCATCACCACCACCACCACCACCACCATCACCACCATCACCACCACCACCATCACCACCACCACCATCCACCCACCACCACCATCACCACCACCACCATCACCACCACCACCACCACCATCACCACCATCACCACCACCACCATCACCACCATCACCACCATCACCACCACCACCATCATCACCACCACCACCACCACCACCACCATCACCACCACCACCATCACCACCACCACCATCACCACCACCACCATCACCACCACCACCATCACCACCACCACCATCACCACCATCACCACCATCACCACCACCACCATCACCACCACCATCACCATCATCACCACCACCACCACCACCACCATCACCACCATCACCACCACCACCACCACCACAGCAATAGTCACTATTGAACAGGTGAAAAATCACCACGAGACACCCAACGCCCCGAGATCAACAGCACCAGACTTAATATAATTTTCCCCGCCTAAGGAGGCCACAGAAGCACTTTGTCATCTTAAGACACGAAATCTCCCAGAATTCTGGGAAAGGGAGGTAACGTAGTCTCCAAATTGGAAGGGGAAAAAAGTCACAGAAAGGAGGAACTAAATTACACACCACTTTATCAATGACAAGTATTCCGCGTAAAGTTATGGAGGGGAAGTAATTAGGTAGAGGATAATAGAGTACCTAGAGTGGATAACTTGATAAGAAAATGGGCACCGTGAGATTAGAGGGAAAGAAATCAGGCCTGACAAAAACACGTTCAATGATCAAGTTACGAAAATGCGGCGGGAAAAAAAGATGGCTGAGTTGACTGTATTTTGATTGTTGGCCAAACCACATACCAGAAATTGAAGAGACCACGACGCTTCGGTCCGTCCTGGACCATTATCCAGGACGGACCATTATATATCAAGTCGACCAATCGACTTGATATTGGTCTAGGAAGAACCGAAACGTCGTCGTCTCTTCAATTTCTAGTGTGTGGTTTGCTCAACATTTTTAAGCCACGTTAGTGTGACTTTTCCTCTGCATTTTCATTGTCAAAAAAAATATTTGTTCTCCATGAAAGACTGTACAGGACAGAGAAGCAAGCTGGGGGGGGGGGTAATTAGGAAGACACAAAAATAACTCTTTAAATGAATACCTGACGGATGGAAAACAGAGAGCCACAGTCAATGAGAAGGTGTTAGACTGGCTGAGTGTGATAAAAGGCATCACCCCCTTACCCTCCCCCAGGTTCGATCTCCGAACCATTGTTTGCTGCTAATGTACGTGAATAACCAACCAGGGGGGTGAATGACCTTGAACGAGGCAATGTTTGCCGACGACGCATTTTGAAATATAACCAAAATCGAGAAAGATATCAAAACATTATTAGATATAACAATCCTGAAACAGACATGTACAGTCACTGGTAATCAAGGACTGATAGCTAAGTGCCACCACTACCAGCATCCGGAGCAGCAGCAGCATCATCAGCATCATCATCGGGATCATCACCACGCAAGCAACCACTCCATTACCTATTACCACGAAGCCAGGCATCCCTACCCTGGGTATTATGTACTCATTACATGTCCATTACATGCCTATTACCCACCTATTACGAGCCCAATCGTTAATCAGACGCATTATCAATTTACCAGGACAGACAAGCTTGCAAGACAAAAAGTAGGAGACTGCGGGAGAAAATTGGCCACTCCATTACCTTCCATTACCCCTAAGCTGATGGAGAAGCTGTGAGGGGATGAGCAGATTCGTGCCCATTGATGGGGTAGGGGAAGGGCTTGGCATGGGGAATGGGTAAAGGGGTTTGCATGAGGTTAAGGGGAAGGGGTTGGCATGGGAGGGAGCTGGCTTTGGGTAATGGGTGAAGGGTGAGGGGCATAATGGATGCAGGAGGAAATTAATGGGGAGGATTGGCATGGGAGTGGTAGGCGGGGGGGAGGTGGGGAGGGGTAAGAATGGGGGAGATGGGTGTTGAGATTAGGTGTGGTGGGTGAGATTGGGTGTGGTGGGTGAGATTGGGTGTGGTGGGTGAGATTGGGTGTGGTGGGTGAGATTAGGTGTGGTGGGTGAGATTGGGTGTGGTGGGTGAGATTAGGTGTGGTGGGTGAGATTGGGTGTGGTGGGTGAGATTGGGTGTGGTGGGTGAGATTAGGTGTGGTGGGTGAGACAGGAAAGGATTGGTACAACGCGTTAACGTTCTTAGATATTGAGTGAGGGTTTTGAATAAGGCATTGAATAAGATTATGAGTAAAGCATTGAATAATGTGTTGAGTAAGATGAATAAGGACATTGAGCAAGGTGGAATGAACCAGGAAAAACCAAAAAATCACAGACCATAACAGACTAATCAATCAAGAAAGAAGAATTAAAATAGATACGTTCAAGATAACTTAGAGAATATAGCAGATAGACGAAATCCTTCTTGATTCGTCATCCACTGACGTTATCTTACAGCCTGACATGATAGATAGAAGTGAGACCGATAGATATTTTCAAAGATAAGTTCCGAGAAACAAAAGAGGGTCTGAGATGAGAGGAACGAAGAAAGGGAATGAAACAGAAGAGGGAGAGTTGATGACAGATAAGAGAAAGTAGAACAGGAGAATAGAAAGAGATTGAGAAACAGAAAGAAGAGAAATGATATAAAAAACATGAGTGGAAACAGGTAATTATGAATAAACAGA